AACCCTGGCGCCTCTCCACCAGCCAGACTGCTCAATTCCAGATCCGTATGTTTGACCCGGACAAGTACCCCAAACACCTGGGTGCCGGTGGTGGCTTTGGCCCTGTAAGTGCCCTTGAAAGGAGATGGCTGAGCAGGACTGGGCCCCAGGGGTCTCAGTGGAGAGTACAGAGCCCTGAAGTCAGACCAGGGGCAGGAGCATAGCCCTGGGCTTGCCCTGCGTAGAAAGAGAACGGGTAGCTATCAACGCAGGAACTAAAGACACTCCCTGGAGAGAGGCAGTGAGTGAGCTTGAACCTCCTGAGAGAAACACAATATCCTGGATCCCTGGTAGCGTCTGGACCTGCAGTAGGCAGAGCTCCTCAGTTTTCACACTGTTGCCTGGAAATGTTCCTGACCTCAGGGGAAATGCAGCATGTGGGGTGGGGCCCCTTCCTGGGCATCTTGTGGGGACAGCAAGCATGACATCAGCTTTCGGATCTGCAAGGTTTGGTTTACTTCTTTACCCCTCACACTGCCCTCAGGTGGCAGATGACGGCTATGGGGTTTCCTACATGATTGCAGGCGAGAACACCATCTTTTTCCACATCTCCAGCAAGTTCTCAAGCTCAGAGACAGTGAGTCTCTCCCGCTCCTGCTCAGGCCTGAGGAGGGGGGTACTACCTGGGGCCCTTTCTGGCTGGGGAAGAGTCCTTGGTTGTGGGGACAGAGGGACAGGGCCTCACCGGAAGGGTTGGTCTGAGCTCTTGGCTCCCGCAGAATGCCCAGCGCTTTGGGAACCACATCCGCCAAGCTCTGCTGGACATCGCTGATCTTTTCCAAGTTCGCAAGGCTGACAGCTGAGGGCTGGAGAAATGCCAGCTGCCCTTCCATCCCCACACTGTGGAAGAAGGGGCCTGTGGTCGGCTCACAGGCATAAGGGGTGGCCATGCACAGGTGTCCAGCCTCCAAGGACAACTCTGGCAGCAGGCACTCCCGAAACAGACGCTGCTCCCTGAGGGCCCAGGTGGTAGAAGTGGGGTTGGAGAAGGGAGGGAATTTTGACTTTTTTTTCTTGCTAGACACTAATAAAGATAAGCCTCTGTAATTCTCTCTTAGCTCTTAGGTACCTTTGTTTTATTTGGGAACTAGGAGGCCCTCCCCTGCCCAAGCTCAGGCCAGAGAGGTAGCAGGGGGAGGAGATGGGGCTGGGAGACTGAGAGGCTTGTGACCTACTTTGCAATGCATGTTTCTCCTGAGGTCACCACCGTCCACACCCACTGGGACTAAAGTCTTGTTTCACAACCTTCACCTGTTCCCTGGGGCCACTTCTGTTTGTCTGCCAGAGAGTTGGGCCCAGCTGCCAGTTCCATGAACGGTCATGCCCTCTGCACGCCTCTGGGCTGGGGCACAGCCCTGTGGAGGCCCATGGCTGCCTCCTGGCCATAGGGAAGGGCTAGAATCCCAGGCTCTCAGTCCACACACCAAGTGGTCATGTCTGTGAGAGGGCACACAGTATAATCTGGAGCAACACATGCTCCTTCCCTCAGGTTGACTTTCTACATTGAAATAACATTAAAAGTAAACACAAATTGTTTTCTGGAAAGTGTAAGAAGGCACTTAATTCCTACTGCTGCGTGCGAGAGGGGATCCGGGTCCTGGCACTCTGCTTGTTGCCGAGAACCCGGGAATGAATTCATACAGTCCCAGGCCTTCTCTTCTGAACTACCATTGATTGCACACCCACCCCCTGCCCGGCGCTGTGCTGGGGATTCGGTGCTGAGCAAGGCACCTGCCGTGTGGAATTCACTATTATGTCAAACAGGCATGGATTAGGGGATGGAGAGGTTAGCATGGGAACCAGCAGCCTTTTGGAATAATTCACTTAGTACTTATTCATGCTATAATCGGTTAGGCACTGGCATACAGTAGTGAATAAAACTGGCCAAAACAGTCCCTCCCCCTGGGGCTTAGAGTCTAGTGGGAAGACAGGCATTAAGCAAGAAGAATGAGTAAATTATATAGTAAGGCAGATGGTAATAAGTGCTAAGGAGAAAAGTAATGGGCGGGAGCAATGGAGGGGTGGGTGGCAATTTCAGACAGGGTTGGGAAGGCAGACTTCCTGAGCGGGGCTAGCGGACTCTGACCGGAAGGGAGGGAGGGTTCAGAGTGGACAGCCAGGGCCAGAGCTTCCAGGTGGCAGGTGCCGGCTGCAGTGCAGGAACAGTACCAGAGGGGCTGTGGCTAGCCTGGAGGTAGTGGAGGGAGAGCAAGAGGGGACAGGTGGATTGGGGCCTCAAGGGCCTCATATGCCAGGCTCTGGCTTGTCTGAATAATGGGAGAAGCCACTGAGGTGAGAACAGAGGGTGATCTAATCTGCCCTAAATCTTAATGGGATCATTCTGGCCAACCAGAATGACATTAGAACAACGTAGGGGGCAGTGAAGACAGAAACAATGAGACCTGTCTGTACCTCTCGGCGGGGGGGGGGGGGGGGGGCGGGCGTTGGGATAAATGACGGGACTTAAACTACCAAAAGGAGACTCAGGATACAAGAATGTCAATGTAGGTCTTAAAATCTGACAGTCATCGAAGATAATCACATTTTCTACTTTGGGTGCTTGAGTGATTAGATGAGATTTTTAAATGTTGAGTTTGATGTGCCTATAGGAGGTATTCGTGAAATTGGCTCAAACTCCTCAAAATATAAATTGAAAACTAAGAAGATGTAGGCTCCTGAGAGCAGCTTTGAAGAGAGCACATGAGAGGATTCCCAGGGCAGAGGCTCCTAATCGCCTCTGAATCTCGGTGAGAAGCTTACAAATCTCAGCTCACAGAATGTTCCGTTCCGCACCAGAACTTTCTTGGGCTCCCAAGAATCTCTTCACAGACTGGGCCACACAGAGTACCTGTGTCACCTACCCTGGGGAAGTGTGTGGGTTTTGGTGGCTTCTGGGCACACCAGCCCACCCAGCCTTGGGAGAGCAGTGAGCAGAGTCTTCCAAAAAGCTGGCTTTCCATTAATGCTGAAATCCAAGTTTTTCTTTTTTGTTTTTTGTTTTTTTTGTTTGTTTTTTTTTTAAGATTTTATTTTTATTTATTGGACAGAGAGAGAGAGATCACAAGTAGGCAGAGGAGAGGCAGGCAGAGAGAGAGGAGGAAGCAGGCTCCCCGCTGAGCAGAGAGCCCGATGTGAGGCTCGATCCCAGGACCCTGGGATCATGACCTGAGCCGAAGGCAGAGGCTTAACCCACTGAGCCACCCAGGCGCCCCTCTTTTTTGTTTTTTTAATCGGATTTTTTCTTGGTTAAGAAAGGTAAGAAGGGAAACCATAACGCTAACCCAAGGTAAAAACCTCAGCGACAACCCATCGAACCATAAGCTACTTGTAGCCCTGGGGTTTGCGGGTGGGCACTAGGCACGAGGTCAGGCCGGCGGCGGTAACAGACAAATCCCGACACCCTCAAAGCTTAGCCCGACAGAAGTCTAACCCTCGCTCACTTGGCTGAGAGGAAGACTCTGCTCCACACCACTACTCGGAGGCTGACGAAAGGCCTGCCCGCCTCAGGCTGGTCCCAGGTTGCCCTGCACAGCAACGCCCAGCAGGTACACGGGGAAGAGAGCAAGGGATCCGGCCTGGTGGGGACACAGAGCGTCTGCCCCACACCCTCCGGCCAGGGCTCCCAGCGCGGGGGAGACTCGAGGACACGGCCCGGCTAGGAAACGCCCGGTGAGTAACGGCCGGCTCGTGGGGAGGCCGGGCTGGCACCCCCGCGCGTCCCCGGAGCCCGTCCTTCCTGGCCTGGGCGCTGCGGGCGCTGCGGACAGCCACCTCACCTGCGAGGCCAAACCGCCTTCCGAGCCTCCTCCGCCCCTCGGGAAGAGTCCATTCCCGGAAGGAAGCTTTGCCACGCGCTTGCCTTCGCCTTCACGGAACCTCTGCTCATCCCGGCGCACGCCGGCGTCGCCCGCGAGAGCGCCTCCCGGGGCGCGGTTCTCCGCGGGGCCGCGGCAGGAATCAGCTCTCGGCGGCCCAAGCCGACGGACGCGCCCCGAACGCTCGGGCTCAACCGTGTCTGCTACTCTGCAAGCGGGCGGCGACCGACCAGATCCCTGACGGGAAACTGGAGTCCTCCTCCCGAACGGGCTTCCCCGCCACCGCCCCCGTCCCCGCCCGGCATCACCCTCGGGCCCAACCCCCGCCCCTTCCTCCCTCACCTCCCCCAAAACCAAGCCCGCTCAAGTCCACCTTCTGGACGGCTCCGAGGTGGTGACCGTCCCTGCCCTGCGACCCCCGCACCTCGGCCGTCATTCGCCCGAGCAGCCTGCTCACCTCTCGCTCCAGCAGCCGGCAGCCCGGGAGACCCCGTCCCCGAGCCGCTTCTCCGCTTCCGGCCCCTCCAAGCCGTCGGTGGCCCCAGACTGCGCCCCTCGCACCGGCCCGCGGAGGCCGTCTCTCCGGTCTCCTCCGGACTGCCGCGGCGGAAGCAGCCGCTCTCGCCGCCGAGCGGCGGTCTTGCCCGCTCCGCCCCGGGGACCGCCAGGGCTCTCTCCTCCTGACCGCAGGTCCCTGGGGACGGACAGCTGCCACGACGTCCGTCGTCGTCAAGACGGAGAACGTCTGGGCCAGAACTAACGCTTACTAGCACCTGCTGGGCCGAGTTCTGTCCCGGACACTGGGGACGCGGTGGTCAGGAGGACCGGGCCCTGCGTGCAAGGCCTTGCTCTGGCGAACCGCGGAGAAGAACACAACCATCAGGTCCACGAGAGGACCCTCCCTTCAGTTCCGCTCTCCCTCCACCTCAGCCTCCGCTAGTTCGGGCAAGAGCCCCCGGGGCGACCCCGCCCCTTCCGCTCTGGAGACCAGCCAATGAGACCTCGAGGCCGAGACTCGGGACCAGCCAGAGGGCGGCACACTCACGTGTTTGCGGCCCAGCCCCTTCCGCTCCGGGACACTGGCCAATGAGGGCGAGAAATCATCTCCAGGGGGCGTATCTGCTAACGGAAAGGGGCGGGGTTCCGTGGCCAGGTCCGGCCGCGTGCTCCCCACCACACAGGTGGGTCGCGGATCCCCACGCGAGGAGCGCAGGCGGTGCTTGAGGTGAGCGAGGCCCGCCCAGCCACGGGTCCCTGGCCCTCCCTGCGCCTCCTGCCCTCCCGGGGCCACGAAGTCCCCGAGCTGTGCCCGCCGCCTCACCCGGTATCCCGCCCTCACCCGTCCCCTCGCCACGGGCCGCTCGCCGCCCCCCACACCCCTGTCACCCCAGCCCCTGCCCCCCACACCCCGTTCTTACCCCAGTCTCCTCGGCCCCCACAACCCCTCAGCCCAGGCTCCTCTTCCTCTACCCGTCACCCCAGTATTCTTGCCCCCTCACCCCAGTCTCTTCGCCCCCCACACCCCATTCTCATCCCAGCACCTCACCCCCACCACATCCCCTCACCCATCTCCTCTCCCCTCACACCCCTCCTCACCCCAGCCCCAAGCCCCAACACCCCACCCTCACCCACCACACCTGACCCTTGCCCCAGTCTCTACACCCCCCTCACCCCAGCCCCCCTGCTCCACACCTCAATCTGCTCGCCCCCACACCCCATTCTCACCCCAGCCCCCTCCCCCACCTCCTCACCCCAGTCTCCTCACCTCCCACACCCCTCCTCACTCTAGTCTCCTTGCCCCCCATACCCACCCCAACACACCCTCACCCCCACACACCACCCTCACCCCCCCTCAGGCCTCCTCACCCCATCTCCTCACCTCCCAAACCCCGCTTTCACCCCAGTTCCCTCACCCCACATCTCCAGACCTCTTACACTGCACGTTCCAGACTCTGAACTCTCCCATACGACCTGACCCTCTCACCTGTTGCTCCCACACCTGGAACACCTGCACTCCACACACCACACATTCCTTCTCCTCCGACTCCAGGACTCCCACCACACATGCACATGCCGTTCCTGTGCTGCTCGCATGCATGTGCCCCTCACAAAGAATCTCTGACCCGAGAGCCCCACTTGTCCTTTCCCAGTTCTCATTTCCAGGGGGATCCCAGCCTCTGCCAAACTCTTCAGACCAGGTAAGACCCTGAGACTACAACCAGGACTCCAGGCCCGTGAGCTCTGCACACCTCTGGAGTCTCCACTCCCCAGGACCCCTGTGACCTCCAGCCCTTCACACCCAAAGTGATTCTTAAGCCTGTCCTCTCCCGCTCCCACACTCCCTCTGCTCTCCTAACCCCATTAGTTTGCTGTTACTCTCATTCCCTTGGGCTTTGGCACTGGACTAATCCTCCTTTCCATCCTAGTCTTGCTCACCTGCAGCAACCTTATCAGGAAGGAAAGCCATGGACTCCTAGCCCATGGTCTTCCTCCAACAGTCTTCCTCCACCCCAGCTCATCCCCGCTCCCTGGATCTGCTCATCCCACCTCTGAAATCCAACATCACTCTGGTCACAACATCCATCCCCAGCCCACCTGCCCCGCCAACTACATGGCCTCCATGCTTCTGCTTTGTCCCCACCCATCATCTTCACACCTCTTAATCCACTCTCTTACCTGTGCCCTCACTTTGCCCGTCCACCACACTCATTTCAAAATCCCAAGCCAGCTACACTCCATCCCTTTTCTCTGTGCTACCCTAGAGTCCTAAGGGTCCTGTGCAGCCATGTGTCCCCAGCCACACAACCACTGCTTCTCTGCTGCATATCCAAGTGTCTCTAGTGAGGTGCTCAGCTTTGCCAAACCCGTATCATTCTCCTGAAACCAAGAATGTCTGTTAGGAGAAGAACCTTTTCATTGCCATTTGTGGGTGAGCTAGAGACCTCAGGTCTTAACCTGGACCATCTGGACCCTTACCTACCATTTCTAGGGTAAAGTGACCTTTTTCCTGTCTGAAACCAGCCCATGCACCATCAATTACCCTTTCTCCTGTTTTCAGCCTTCTCTGTTCAACTAAGCTCTTTCACATAAACCTAAAGACAGGCAAGTCTCTGCCTTTATAGATTAAAAAAGAGAAATCCTTCCCTCTATCATCCTGTCATTTATCTCCTATTTCTCCTACCTGTCTCAACTGAATCTGCATGCCCTATCTATTTTGCCTAATGCTCTGTTAATTCTTTATTCTTGGAATTCTTGTTGTCATTGTTACTGTTACTCAGTTACTCACTGAGACCTGACACCCAAATAAAAGGTCTTAAATTCACTGGGCCCTTTTGTAATATTTGACACTGGTGTAACATCTCCCAACTTAAAAACGAAAGATACCTGTAACTCCACATTACATTCCAGCTACTGGCCCTTTCTTTGCTTGTCTTTGAACCAGAACACACAAGTTTTACTTACTTCTCTTCCCTTCTCTGTAAACATATTGCAGTCAGGCTTTTGTCCCTGCTGCCCCATGAAAACAGCTTCTGTCAAGTTTGCCAGTGACCTGCAGATTGTTGAATCCACGGCCACTTTTTTTTCCTTATGCTACTTTATATGAGACACAATTGATCACTCTGTTTACTTTCTTCACTTGACTTCCAAGACTTGCTGCTGCTTTTCAGTCTCCTTTGCTGGTTCCTCTTCTTCCCAAATTCCCAAATTGGAGAGCTCCGATCTCCTTTCCGTCCACCCTCACTGCCCAGGAGACCTCAGCTAGTCCCATGGCCTTAAGTGTCATCTGTACCCCAGTGACTACCCAATACAGATGTTCAGCCAGGCTTTTCGCAACACTACAGATACATATTTCTACTTGGATGTCAGCACATACTGTTGGCTCCATGTTTCCAGCATATTCAGAATCCAGTCACTTCTCACTACTGCCACTTGTAACACTCTAGTCCAAGCCCTGTCATCCCTTACCAGGAGTTCTGCCACAGCCTCCTCTCTGCTTCACCATCCCCATCCCAATCTGCTCTCAGCATTGCAGCCAGAGTGATCGTTTGACATATTTGTTTGTTTTAGAGAGAGACGGTGAGCACGTGTGTCAAGCGGGGCTGGTGGGCACAGGAAGAGAGAATCATAAGCAGGCCCACACCCAGCGCGGACCCAGGGGCTTGACCCCACGCATGACCCTGAGATCATGACCTGAGCTGAAACCAAGAGTCAGACGCTCCCAGAGAAATCCTTTTAAATCATAATTCAAATCGTGTCACTCCCTCAAATTTCTCTAATATCTCCTCCGCTCACTCAGAATTAAAGTCAAAGTCTTCTATAAACTGCAGTATCCTCCCCAGCTTCTCATCCTCATCTCCTAACATCCTGCCCTCCTTCATTCCTCTCCAGCGCTTCTAGCCTTCTTGTTCTTCTCAAGCACAGTTAGCCTGAAGGCTTTTTCATCCCTGTTTCCTCACAGAAAGTGAGCTCACATGCTCACTTCCTTGAGTCTGTTTGAAGACTCACTTTCTCAGAGGGAATTTCCGTAGTTCACCATAGGTGGAGTAGTTCTTGCCACTCCATTATTTTGTAACCTACCTTGTTTTATTTTCTATCACCACCTCATATTTTCTATATTTATGTGTTTATTGCCTATCTCCCTTGACTAGAATGTAAACTCTACAAGGGCAAATATTATCTTTTGTTCGCTAGTATACTCCTAGCACCCAAAACAGTGCCTGATGCTCAATAAATATTTGTTGACTAAATGAATTAACTGGCCCATCCCTCCTCTCTTCTGTTGGTCTCAACTACATACTCCCCAATTCTCTACTTTCTTTTTATCAGTGTCTTTTACGGGGTCATTTTCTTCTGCTTTTAATGGCTGATATTTAAGAGCTTCTTCCAAGTCCATTTTCTCTTCTTTTACACACTGTGAATGATTTCATCTTTTCCCGTAATTTAAACACCATCAAATCTCTATTTTCAGTTTACCCTCTCTCTAGGGCTCTAATCCTGTATTTCAGCTGTTGGATAGCTTTGCCTGGACGGGCACCACACGCTCAAGCTGTCCCAAACTGAGCTCGCTGTTAGCCTCTTCATTCCATTCCTCTACCCCCATTCTTTGTCCTTTGTTCCATCCCTCCCGACAGTCAAGCTCAAAGCCACCCACTGTATTGTCTGAGGCAGCCGTGAGAAAATGGCATGCTAACGAGCTCCGCCTCTAGAATCAGGACTGTGCTCCAGCCGGCTCTGCCGCTGCTTGGCTGTGTGACTTGGCTTAGATCCTTCCACAATCCCCAGTTTCCTTATCTGCACAACAGGGAGAGTAATAGCACTTACTTTGTTCCATGGTTGTGAAATCAGCCAGTGCTCATTGAGAATTTACACGGTTCCTGACACATACTAAGCATGAAATACATGTTAGCTTTCATATTATTCACTTCATATCTCTTTCTCACCTCCTTAACATAAAATATTTTCTGAGCAACTACTCTGTCTATACCTGGTGTTACACATAGAGTCATGCCAACTATTTCATTTGGTGAATGTGGGTGTCTGCTATCCCCACAGCTGTGTGCGTCTTCACGATCACCTGCAAAGGAGCTATTATTTCCATTTTACAGAAGAGGAAGCTGAGACTTATGGAGATAGGCTAACTTACCAGCCTTTCACAGCCGATACATGGCAGAGCCTGCATTCTATCCTGGAATTTCAGGGTACACACAAGTTGTTCTTTAGTTGCTTACTACGCCTTGTTAGTTCTGTTCACTCACATGTTTATCAAGAATTTATTGCATACCAGGAGTGTAATGTGTGAGCGCACAGACTGGAGCCAGATTCTCAGGGCCCAGTTCTTAGATCTGTGTCTTTGCTGTCTGACCTGGGGCAACTTTGGTCATTTCTCTGAGCCCTGTTTTCCTCATCTGTAAATTAGAACAATAACAATACTTACTTTTTAGGGTTCTTCTAAAGGTGTAAATGCTTAAAACAGTGTCTGGCTGGAACAGTGTGGAAGCTGTTGAAATGTAAAAGAGGTGCCGCCTTCAGAGCTGGCGATGGGAAATGTGAGGAAAGACTTCTAGACGTGACGCTTGAGCTGAGTCTTTAAAAACAAGAGAGCATGAGGGAAGGGTATTTCAGGCAGTAGAATAATATATGTACACACATAGAGGCAAGAGAGAACATGGTGTTTGCAGAGTTCTCAATGACTTGGCTATAAGGGTCATTTTATATGTGAAGGCT